GTTTAAACATTTGTTTAACAACAAGTAAAAGCTTGGAATGGTCTATTCTTTCACTGGGTTGCGTGTCTGTGAGCCAGACTAGTTTTAGATAATTCCACTCCTCATCAGTGTACCCATTCCAAGCTTTTACTTGTTGTTAAACAAATGTTTAAACAACTCTATTTATTCAATACCTGAAAATGATATCCAGACAGAAACTGAAAGGTTAAGGTCATTCTTCAAATGGTAAGGTATTGCTCAGAGCAAATCGGGTTAAATTTGTAGCTAATAGTAAAAAAAAGCTGGTGTATGTAGAAGTCACTGTCATTTGAGAATTCAAGATAAAAATCAACACTTTTGAAATAAAACCAAAGTTTTGTGAATGAATGCAGATTTCATCAAGTTGAACACAGGCAAGGAATTTGAACACGTCTGTTCAATGTAATATCAATATAAAGAATAAAGTTATGTCAAGTGCACAGGGGTGGGGAGGAGTTACTGCTCATTGAGGTTGTGTCACCCTCCTATTGATGGAGGGCTATTGTTGCATGATAATGTCATCATGCAACAGTACAGTTCACATTAAACACTTGTATTTAGTTGGGAGGTAGCTCAAGGTTAGTGGCATGCAAATCTCATAGGCAGACATGAGAGGGAAATAGCATTTCTGTGTGAGGTGGTGAGTTATCATCTCAGAATTACAAATTTTATTTTATTTTTTCTTGATAAATCTCAATTCTGGTTTATGACTGGCTTACATATTCTTATGCTGAGAGTTTTCCTGATTTTTCTGAGCTTTCGAATGTACAGTAGCTAAACTTCTGTACTGGACACTATACACTTTTAGCACTCATCATAACAATGTATAAACCATAATTATGGCTCAAAAGTTGCACTAACATTTAGAAATCTATTCAACAACAACGAATAAAAAGGTATCACCAGGATTAACTTTCAACCAATCAATAGCCACTATAATAACAAGCTCTAATACTATAATGCTAAACTTGAAACATTTTTCCCCCCACCTCTTTCACTATGACCTGAAGATCATGAAAGACTAGAGCACTAAATGTATACTATCAAAAGAAAAAAAAAAAGAGGAGACAGAAAAAATTTACCATGAACAGTGTTTACCAATTATGGTTCTATCTACCTTTGAAAAATGGTCTACTGATATACTTTTTAATAGTTCTTTCAAAATTGCATCTGGATGAGTTTTTAGCTTTTTAATCAAGTTCATGTCCATTAAGGAACTTTTAAGATATGTTCTTCACTGATAACTAAACAAAATTTGGAGATTTAAGGCACAGTAGGCTTAAGAAAGAGAGCATTGATTATTTGTATCCTTACCATTATTAGGAAACGTATGGTCTATAACAGTATGAAGAGTCTGAAGTGGCCATGATGCTACAAGTAAGAGATATAGAAATAAACATTTCAAAAATACACTTTTTATGTGACTTACAGCTTATTTAAAGAAGTGGAGTTATTAAAAACCAAAGACAAATGATATATTTTTAATATGTTAATTTTTAAACTTCTTCATTCTCACTTATCTCTTTCATATCTACAGTTATTAAAAATTTATTAATTTTATTAAAGAATAAGCAATGTAACAATATAATAATTTGGGTTTGTTGATAGAATACAATGTACAATTTATAAATAATGTCTAAAATATACTACTATTAGTATGCATACATTGAATTATTATTATTTACTGAAACTTTTTTAGAATGAAAAGAACAATTTCCAGATACTTTGATTAATGATTATTCATAACTTTGAGCTTGTACAGGGTTGAGTATGATATATCAAAACTATTTTTAATATGTTAATCAGCAAGTCACATGACAACCACTGCCAATATAAAGTAGCAGTGGTCAGAATATATATCAGAACTACATTTTGACATTGTTGGACATTTTGTAGATAGTGTACTACTGAAAACTGATTTTTTTATTGAAGGGTATGTAACAGGCCTTTCTAATGCAAAATATTCATATACTCAGATCATAAAGATTTGATCAAATTGGGAATTTAGAATTTTCAAGGCATAAAGGCATTGGAAAACAAAGGAATATGGATCAACTTGGGGTGTCAGCACCATACAGAAAGAGGCCTGCAACAATTTGTACCCCCAGCCATTGTAAGCAAAATGCAGTGTCTTGTAACATGAGAATTCATAAACACAAAGGTCAATGGCAAAAGCCATCAATAATCTTAGGATAACAGCACGCAATATGATAAAGAAGGATCTCCATCTGAGAATGAGGCCGATAGTGTACAGGTTCACCAAAATAAAGCTTCCATTCATATGTTCCATTAAATCATAACATACTTTAAATAGCTGGAGAATGAAACATGGGGTATTTATGCTATTCCACAAGAAGTCATACCAGTCAAGTTACCGGATCCAGTGACTGTGGATTTTTGTGTGCTTGAACCATTGAAATGGGAGCTGGGAATCATCATCCTTGTAAACTGGATGGTTTATGAAAAGCAAACAGGGAAGAGTAGTGTGCTTTGGACATGACAACCTTAAGATTAAGCCTTTTGCAATGGCAACTACATTATCAAGATGCACAGTTACCAAACTGAGTATGACTGGAAGTAGAGACATAGACTGTAACAATGTGATGAGGCTCCAAAATTGTTTTAATATAACTTACTGAAACCTCTGTATCCATTACCTTACTTACATAAATATTTCTGTATAAATAAATAGTTTTTGAATTATGAATCTTACCTTCACCAATATTTCCACAAACATACATATCTATGTAGTGGTCTCTGACATCTGAAATTCAAAAATAATATTTCTCTGATATTTGTACATCAATAGTTCTAGAAGCTTCTCTTTTTTTTATCTTTGTGGTTTTTTTCGTATGCAAAAGAAAGGAATCAGAGTACAGAAAAGCATCTAAAAACAATCTACTAATGATTCTCTACAGCCAGGAAGTTGCCTTTGGATAATACTGCATCATTCTCTCCTTTCTTAGGTCCTAATGAAATCATCTGGCTTAAATGTTAATTGCTTATTCCTCATTTGATATAGTAATATTAATCATTTTGTAAAGCCTTTATTTGATAAAACTGTACCAGTTTGAAACAACAGGCTTAGGTATCAAATACACACACAAAACTAGTGACTGATCCTATATTCACATTCATTAACAAAATACAACAGAAGTATACCATGTGAACTATGTGTTTCCCCATCAAACTAACTAATTAGAGTTTACTGTGGACTCTTCAGCCTACTTAACACTAATATATATTTGTTTATATTCATAAAAAACATAAAGCTTTTAATAAGTAAATTTTTACAACTTACCTTCTATACTTCTTTCTTTAAAATGCTGAGTTATGCCTTCCCTGGAAAGAATACCCCAAACTGTAGTGCATCTAAAGTTAACATAACATAAAATTTAAGGATAACAAGAGACCTGTTGGTCCAACTGGGCCATCCCATCCACTAAGCTAAATTAAACCTAAAAAATAACAACTCATAGTCAGCACTATTCATTCAAATATTTATCAAGCCTTCCCTTAAACTTCCTTAGATTAACTGCATCTACAACATCTGAAGTTAATCCATTCCAAAAGCCAGCTACTCTGTTAGAAAAATAAAACTGTATTAGCTGAAGATGAATCCCAACCTGCCAAATTTATATTTGTGTCCCCTAATCCTATCATTCTCACTTTTTAGTATGAAAAAATATGATTGTATTGACACTACCAATTCCCTTAACAATCTTAAACACCTCAATCAGATTGCCTCTAATTATTCTTTTTTCAACAGAAAACAAATTTCAGAAATCTTAACCTATCCTCATATGATAACTTTTCCATCCCAGATAGTAGCTCTTTGTTGAACCCTTTCCAAAAATTCAATGTCCTTCTTAAGGTCTGAAGTGCAATACTGAACACAATACTCCACATGTGGCCTAACCAATGACCTATACAATGAAATTATAACCTCAGTAGATACAATTTAATATCCTGTTTATCCTACCACTAGCAACAGCACACTGATTAACCATAACACCATAATCCTTTTCTTTAATAACACTATTCAGGTTATACCCATCAAAATTACACTTGTAACTCAAATTATGATAACCCATATGCATTACCCTGTATTTATTATAATTAAAAACCACCTGTCATTTATTTGACCAACACATCAAATAATCCAAACCTTTTTGTAACCTTCAATTATGTCACTAATGTAAGTCATAAAGATCAAAGGTCCTAATACTGAGCCCTGAGGTACCCCACTAGAGATATTAATCCAATATGAACAAACTCCATTTATAACAATCCTCTGCTTTCTTCCATCCAGCCACTTTTCTGTCCAACGAACAAACTTATCTCCCACACCATTAGAGATCAATTTTTAACAAAGCTTTCATGTGGCCCCTTGTCAAATGCATTCTGAAAATCCAAATACAATAAAACCACATCTTTACCTTCCTCTACATAAGCAGTAACTTCTTCAATGAATGTCTAAAGGTTAGTAAAGTGAGATTTTTCCCCTAGTGAAACTATATTGACTAGCTAACAAAATTTTAAAATTTGCAAACATCTTTTATCGGACTTTCAAAAACTTTTCCTATCACTGATGTAAGACTAATAGGCCTATAAGTATTGGAACAACTTTTATCACCTCCCTTGAAAAGAGGAGAGACAATAGCTAACTTCTAATCCTCTGGAATCTGCTCACTATTCAAGTACTTACAAAAAATTGTAGCAAATCTTTCACTTATCCAATCCTTAACCTCCTACAAAACCATTGGGGAAATATTATCTGATCCAGGAGCCTTATCATTCTTTAAATATCTCAATTTTTCTTAATGAGCTCAGAATTACTGTGATAATCTTGTTTGATTTTGTTTCCATCTAGCAACTGTTAAGAACAAGAAATAGAGCTGGACAATTTAATTGATTACCTATTAGTAGTAATTACATTGATTAGTTTCACCTAAACCAATCAATTAATTGAAATTATGATTAAACTGATTACAGCCATTCAAAAAATGTAATAAAGTTGATATTGGGTGCTGACAGCCAGTTGGCTTCCCTCTAGTCAGCAGCTCAAAATTAGTGACAATGGCAGATAGCCTTAATAGCTTTTCCATAACAGAGATAAGTTATATATAGTAATATTTTGATTACTTGAATAGTTGGAAAAATCAAAAATAGTAATAATTGGAAACCCTTATTTGTATTACTTGATTATTTTCATGTAATTTTGATTAATCAATTGTTGGAATAAATGAAAACAATAACTATTGGAAGCACTAATTTCAACCTTGTCATCTGATTGGAAGATCAAAGTGGATCACAAAAGGGAACTCTTTCAAAATCCCAAATTAAACACTAATCAAAAGAGTTGGTCAAACAAGAAATTAGGAAATTGAAAAGAGTATATATATGAAAAGGTTTACTATAAATGTAAAAATTAACAGTAAGGATTTCTTTGAATACATTAAGGGTGAGCAAAATGTTAGGATGTGAGTAGGACCATTGAGGAATCATAAAGGAAGGCTCATATCAAATGATTATGAGATGGCTGGATTATTAAATTATATTATTTCTTCAGGTTTTTACTAATGAATATTTAAACAGTATTCCTCATTAGAGCCGAGCAGACACTTGCCTTGTACCTAGTTATGCCAATGGCTTGAATCTTCAAAAGACAGAATGCTATTTCATACCATTAAACCCCAGTTTAATCCCTGCTATTGATCTTCTTTCAATCCTCTAAGTCTCCTGTCACAAACAATTTAAGCTTCTTAAATTTATAATGCTTTTCTTTAATTTTATCCTTTGTACCCTTTGTGAGTCAACCTGGTGTTTTACTCGCAGTCCCCCTTTTCTTTACTATAAGGAACATGTCTATCTTCAATATTTAAAAATATATTTTTAAATATTCTCCACATTTCAACAGTATCTCCAATTAATTTAGTTGTCCAAATAACAACATATAATTTTTGTTCAATTCCTTCAAAACTTTCTTTTTCTGAATTATTCCTGATCTCCATAAGCAGTAAAACATCAAACCTAATTGAGAAATGATCACTTGAACCCAGATGTTCTTCAATCTCTTCCCTCTCAACCATTTCTATATTAGAAATTTACAATAAATCTAAAACAATAATGTTCCTACTAGTTTCCCTGACCAATTGGTGAAGAAAACCATCCTGGTTTGACTCTAACATTTCCCAAGTTATATGCCTGAAATGATTATCCTCCACAATTATGACGTTAATAACAGATGAATTCTTTATCTTACTGTAAAGTTTCTCATTAATTTCATCAGTTTCATCTGGTAATCTGTAACAAATATCAAATAAAAGCTTTCTCCCCCTCTGTCTGCTAATAGAAACCCTAATAGATTCAATCTCCTTGTTATTACTTTGAATATCCTCAACTTCAACAAGATGTAACTCACACTGTACATATAAGGCCACTCTTCTCTTCTTTTTACTACACTATCCCTATTAAATAATTTATAACCTTGTACTTCAAAGACATTTCTGTGATTAAAATTGTCTACATTTAACCACATTTCAATTTATATCAGAATCACCCATTCCAACTACACTTTTCTCTACATCTTATTTTTTCTACATTTAGTTTATCCTGGCCCTCACCACTGTCTAGACCTAGTTCAATGCTGACTTTATAACTAAGTTAATACCCTTGCAAAAAAAAAAAGTCAGCCTACACTATTCAAATGTAAACCATCCATTCCAAAAAGTTCCCTTTTACCATTTTGTTGATCTCAGAAGTCCAATGCCCAATATGCTTGTCCTTACATATTAACCTAAGCCTAACATTCAGCCCTAGTGACCTACTGATAACTTCATTCACACAATTAAGTCTGGGCAGTATCCCTGATACAATTAAGTTATGGCCCTTTTTCTTTCTATGCTTTTATCAACTCCCTGTACTTATAAATTAGTTTCTCTGACCTACCCTTCCCTACATCACTAGCCTTATGTGCACAACAAAGAATGCATCATTGCTAGCACCCTTCCATTACTATATCACTTGCTCTGTAAGTTACCCCCACCCCTGCCCCTGGACAGCAAAATCTAATTATTTTGTCCCTATTTACCTCAAAGACTATTCTATCCTTGAATCATAACATTCAATTACCTTCATGATGTTAAAAAAATACATAGGTTCAAGAAATCTTGATAGAAATTAATAAAAACCCTATAACCCGAGCTCTTTCGAAAGGTGGACCTTTCTTCTTCAGAGGCAAATCAATCACTTATAACTATAGTTAGCTTAAGTTTTTCATTACCAACTCTCTCTGTCCCTTTTGTTTTCCTTCCTTCCCATAATTCTTTACCTGTACAAAATAATGGCCAAAATCTTTTACTTATTAGAACCTTCTTATTACAATTAAATCCAGTACTTCTATCCCTGATATTACTGTTTCTAACTTCCTGAATGACTTACTGTATCCCTTGCATTTAAAAGCTTAAGTTCCTCTTGAAATCTTGCTGTCTAATAGGCAGATATTTGAGAAAAATGTGTTATTAAAGTAGCACAAAGGAATATGGAATTCATAATACTTGATGCCCCGGATAACAAGATTTATCTAAAGGATAACATGTTTTACCAATTCTTGAAAATTCTGACCTGTGGAAACCTAACACATACACATGAACATTTCAAAATGTAAACCTCAAACCAAAACTACAGACAAGAATATATATCCTTTTAATTCAAAAACCCTCAATCACATACACACAGTAACAAACATATTTAAATTAATGCAACAATATTATTACGCTGCTTTTGTCTGCTAGTTCTAGGATGAACATATAACAAAAAGCTTTAAACTGTTTTATATATATATATCTGTATTGTAAGATAGTGAACTCTATTTTTATTTTGTTATGGTTTTGTTTATCATTTATTTATTATTCCTTCTATCATTTAGCTCCTTACGAATTTTTAGTTACGTTGAAGTGCTTACTCACCTTCTATTTAGAGCATGTTGCTTTTGAGTATTTATGTATTATGAAATTGACACAAGCTTACCCTAGGAGTGATGTATAGATATTAATGTTGTGAAAGATTATGTAAATTTATGGTAATAGTTAGTCACATGAGATATAACCTAGTGATCTGACCACTAAATGAAAAGAGTTAGTTCACAAGATATAGTTAGAATTATTACTAGTTATTGTTTGATATTGAGAAGGATTTAATTTTTAATATTAATATTAAATGAATTAAGATTTGGAAATCAAGTAAAAATTAAGTAATTGTGTTACTGCAATGCTGATGATTATTTTTGTTCCAAGACCAAAGTGAGATTGTAGATAAGAGTCTGAAGGCATTTGATGAGTGTATGGCTAAGCTAAAGAAAAAACACTTCCATAAAGTGGAAAACAACGTTATTGCATAAATCGAACGTTCCATGTACTATCACATTTAACAGTTTGACTTTAGTCTAATATAAAGATCTATGGCTTAAAGCCAACATAAAAAAATTTCTCAAGGTTGTAAATCACTTTATGGTTCTTAGCAGCTATGTTGAATCACCATAAAATCTGTAGTTGAATCCTAACTTTCAGTTTTAAAAAACTGATAATATTATTATATTCAACTCCACAAAATTTTGTTACAAAAACATAGGATCATACTATTTTTTAAATAAAAGTCAAGACGTAACAATAATTAACCTAAAAGCTTTTCTCTTTCCAGAGAAGCTTAAATGGAATATTTTATAGATAATAATTAAGCACCCTAAAATTATGACTTCTGGCTAGCAGCCTATTATTTATAAAAATCTTCTGGAAAGGTTTCAAGATTGTAAACGTTAGGTCAATTTCAATAACAGTGGCAGCACACACTTATATACAAGTTATACTTTGATATTCAAAGAAAAAAAACATTACACATCACAGTCTTTCCAGAGGCAACTGCTAGAAAAAAAAAAAATCTTATCTTTCCAAGAGGAAAACAAATCAAAGAACTATAGACAGTTCATAACTGCTAGCTTTAAACAAACTTCATGTATGTAACTAACAAACTTACCAGTTTCCAAAGCCATAATGCTCTACTGCTTCTAGTAACAATACTTCATCCACAGCTTTCCATGACCCAGGAGTTTGAAATAACAGGAAAGTACCACAGTTCTAATAATTGTTAAAATAAAATTGTACTAACAGTTTGTTCATCATTAACTCATAAATGATATATGTTGTTTCACATAGTGCAAGTTTGCTAGGTACATTTAATCTATTTAGAAAAAAGCATTTTCATATTAGTTTAATAATGAAACACACTTCAAATTCATGAAACAGTCAAAAGCATAACAAAGTATTCAAATACAAGACTATATAATGTATTTAAATAACAAAGGTTATAATCTGTATGAATAAAAAAGCATTAAACCTTTTTATATAAGCATTAAACTAGTTTTTTTTAACTCGCAAACTATTTACTTGAATATGATGTACAATTTTTACATGTTTTGTTGGACTGGTATCATGACAAAAATAGTGATAAAAAATACATTTACTGAATTACAGAATACATTTTTAGGAACAACAAATCCACACATACACAAAAAAAAGACTAGCATCAAAATATTTGAAAATAATAACAATGTTTGATTGTTGACTTACTATCAAGCAAACAATACATCTAAATACATATCATATTGTATTTCATTTTCCAAATATATAATTCCTTAAATTAGTAGGCTAACTCTAACCTTTACATAAAAAATTACCAGAAAGAAGCTACATAGCAATGATACCAATACACTCTAACTGAAGAAAATGAAACATTATTTGTTAAAAACCAAATCTGCCAGCTAATTTAATGTATAAATCCACACATATTATACTAATGTATTTATTTCAATAAATAAAATATGCAATACAGTGTTTATAACATTACCAGACCACACAAAAACATAGTTGTAAACTACTGCAATATATATACACAAATTTCTTACTTTTTGCTATTAGACATAACAATAATTTCAGTACAGAATCCCCAATAGATTTATTTCTTAATTACATTTGGAAGTGATGCACTAGTTTATCAGACTGTAATTTAATGAAATGAATTATAAAATGTAATATGTTTTCAGAGTAATTTTCTAAAAAAAACTGGGATCTTCATTAAAGTTGACATAATGCTAAGTTTAAAATCTTTAAAAATAAAAGTTGTGGTAAATTTTATTACTGGTCAAACAAAATTTTTTGTAACTTTCATTTTAACTATTAATAAGATGAAGTAATGTTGAAAAAGGCCATGTTCTCAGAATCTAATAATCATGTGAAATGTTAGGTTTCACAAATAAAATTAACAAAATGATCAAATAACAGAATATCAAATGTAAAAAATTCAACAAGCCATAATATATATATATATATATAAAGACCCATATCCAGGGTGTGACAGGTGTGAGTTGTTTTTCAAGAATCAAATGTTCTTTTTGCTTATGTTAGCAAGTAAGCATAAGGAACTAATGTGGTTTTATGTGGGTGTGTTGCATTTTACTAGCTTATCATAAATGAAACATTAAATTAATTCAGATCTACTTTATATACCAAGTTTTTAAAAACAGTAATTTTGGTGTTTTCATTATTCCACTAGAGGATGTCTTTAAACAATATGGTATTTTCAATATTAAGTAACATTAATATTGTTATTAACCATGAGAATTAAAAATCATAGCCTGAGTAAATGACCAAACTAGGTGTCTTTTCTTTGCTGGTGGGGGGGTTCAACTGAACACCCTAAATTCTCTCTCTGACTAGAAGACTGTATGTACATGGGTTACCAAGAGATACCAAGTTAATATGTGACAATATTTAAATAAGTGCTTTGAAAAACAGTTTTAAGTCATTTCAAAATAACCTTTTACAATTAAAATCTTTGAATGCACCAAAACTGATTTTTTTTCATGAAACCTATTAATTTTTTTTTAATTACTTACTACTTAATTATTTTATTTAGTGATGCAGTAAATATGACAGCCTATTAAGGTAAGCTATTTAAATTCCATTTCATTCATAGCACTTACTTGTTACTTATAAATTCTCTAAAATTAACAAAATACTTACTATAAGTTCATACCCATGTTTATTTTTGTGTCCACCTATTTCTACTCCACATGAAAAACACTGAAACATAAATAATAAATATTTACTATCAAAATTAGTTTTGAATGAACGATGAACTTGAAATACTTACATATAACAGGGTATTGTTATTATTATTTTGGAAATTTACAAATTGAGAGAAAATATTTAACAAATGAAAAATTGTAGCAGAACAAGTTGTGTTACATATATTTACTATGACACAGGCAGTAATTAGCATCAACTTATTACTTTTAAGACAAAACGACAACTAAGTCATACATAGTAGTCAGATATGTGCTAAAAATTTGAAGACATAATAAGTTCTTAAACAGTAAAGAAAGAAAGCCAACATAAACTCATTTAATTGTAATATTTGATAACCATATATATATTTAACTTTTTTTCATTTCTCATAGAATAAACTGTGGAATATATTTTGAATACTTTAAATAAATGCTTCAGTATATACATACACACATATGTGTTTAAATAAGAAGTGAAAAGTAATGTCTTTGTAAAACTTACTAAGTACAACAAAATATATTATTATAATTAGTCCACCAGTGGGAAAAACCTCTATTTAAAGTGCATCTTTATAAGCATGGCATTAAACAAACTAGCATTTAGTAACAAAGAACATACTGTTTTTACAAGATGCAATATGAAAAACATATTTTAATATTTTTATTTGCTAAGTGTTTAAAACAAGTATTTTTGTTAGATATTAAATACAATGTAAATTTTCACTACATTGGTACATTACGAGTACTTTAAAATGTACAATTACTACACTATTTACTAACGGCAACAGGTAGTGAAAATGCGCATGCTCAAAAGAAGAAAAATTTATATATTTTTCCAGCAGTGATGAATTGTAACCGTTAGGTGGCGTTTAAATATTTGATCCACGATACACTTAAGCCTAATATAGAACACTAGACTAGTAATACGACTAAACGAAGCCGTTATTACATTTAGACGGTGTATTTTGGACACGAGATGACGCTACCCCTTACACGTTCAGTTTAAAAGATAAGGTATTCTACCTTAAGAAGAATAAGAACTTATAATAAATTTATATAAATTGCTAGTATTCTAAAGATATAAGTAAGCAACGTAAAAATCAAAACATTTGATGTTGCTATGTCACTTGCCTGTAAACAAAGGTCAAAATCTTTGCATTGGCTACATCTCACTGTTACTTCTGTAATGTCTTCTTGACAATACTTGCACTGATAGTCTGAGTTAAACCCTATTAAAACGTTTAAAAATACGATTAATACGTTGATTACTTCCCAAAATCAAATTATGATGAAAATATTTTTTTAGTTAACTTAATACATACCAGCCATGTTCCTTTGTCTAAAAACCAACGCCTGATGACGTCACCAATTTCCCACAAATCCCTTCATGGTATCAAGAGAAGGTTTGGGCGTAAAACGCTGTCCAGATGTGCGTTGCGATGTGAGGAATAGATATGGCAGTGAAAAGCAAATAGTATCAGTAGCACTTGTCTGTATTGATAGTTGTGTGTGTGTGTGTTTGCGATGGAAGGGTAGCTACTCCAGCACAAATGTTTTAAAACCATGCATGTATTTACATAAAATTATCGGATTGTTCGTGATGTCACAAGATGATCATTTGTCAGTGTTGACAGTCTTGCTGGTTTCATGGGATGCAATAACTAGATGCAGTATCCCACTTATACTAACTAAATTTATGTTTCCAGTGTAACATGGAATTTATGCAGTGGAGCACTAGTAGACGAATGGAGGCGTAAGTTTTGTATTTAAAAGTTTACCTGCCGGAAACAGCATTATGGCCTATGTGTAACACAATTGTATGTTGTTATTTTTTATAGCATTAATCTAAAGCAAAACTTTTAATGTGATCTTAAAAGTGTGTGTGACAATACATAGACATAAATACATACGATGAAGTGTGCAGAAGAAATGCCCTCGTCGTCCATCCCGAGATCGGCACAATTGCATAGTATACGTTATCTAATGGATTGATTTTGTAACTATTAATAAGAAATAATATTTTCTGCCACAGTAATATTATGTTATAATATGAGACTTACCTATTTTTCATGATGTCATAATATGTCTTCAAGCCTATTTTTGTAATGTAATACAAGTAACCAATCTTAAGATTCTAGTCAAATTTCTCTGATCGTTCTTTGGTCATGTGACCCGGGAGGCTCAGGTACACCCTGGATTTCTACCTGGTTTCTTGACTGTTGTTTTGATTCTTGAACGTAGTAGCTGAAGCCCATATTAGTTCTCCGATTTTGTTCGGTCGGGTAACTAGGAAAATTCATTTCAATATTATGTAACCACTGTATGCTTGGTACAGTTGTTCTTGGATTATCATATACGCGAGTGCCCTTTTCAGGTTATGTTCACGAATATAAAAATGTAGATTTTTTATTATTATTTTCGGCAAATGTTTCGTTTTCTCTCATTCATTATAAACATTCAGTCTTGTACATACAAAACAGTTCCATAGACACCGATAGAAACATATACAGTGCTAATCATATTTTTACATAAAAAACTTCAAAAATAAAATTAACACTATATCTAGCTACAAGTTTGCCCAGTATTAGGTGGCCGTAAATTACATAACGAATTAACTGTATTTAGTGGCGAAAAATATTTTTGTCTATCTTCATCATACATAATAAAGTTTTTCAGTGTTCTTGGAGAAGTATTTTTATTAACATTTTTTCTGGAGATAGTCTATTAGTCTGTTTTGAAGTCTTTCTGACAACATAGGGATGTTTGCATAAGTATGTAGGAAAGTTGTGTTTGTGCATCTGGGGACTCTTTTATGCTTTAGTGACTATTGAATTTTGAATTGTCTGTAGTTTGTTTATTTGTGATTTGGCTACATTTCACCATGCTGGGCAGGCATACTTTACCACTGGACATATGTATGTTTTATAGATTTTGAGTATGTTTTCAGTTGTTGCATCCCTAGTGTTGCCGATCAGACGTCGTACATAATTTCCTTTTTGTCACATTTTATTTCTAATGAGCTGGAGTAACCGTCCGTTGGACGGACGAAATAAAAAATCGTCTGTAACAAAAGATATGAAATTGTGCTTCTATTTTTTTTCTTAACATAATAAACATTAAAAGTGCAATAAAAATACATAAAAGTGGAAACATATAAGGAATAGATACACCTATATTTACGTTTATCTATATACATTTCATTTACATGTTTAGTCCAATTTAGCTTTGAATCGTAGGTTAGGCCCAGGAATTTGGCTGATGTGGCTACCAGGAGAAGAGTTTCATTGGGGTATAATTTTAGGGGCTTGTTTGCTTTGTTAAGTTTCTGCATGACTGGTTTAGTTGTTTTGAATTTCGCAGAGAAATAAAGCAGAGAAATAAGTGTGAAATGGAGACCAAAATTCCACATGAACCACTCGTACTGGTATTGTTAAGAGTAAATATCAGGACGAATATTCTTAATGACTGTACTCACACAATGGCTCAGCGGTAAATCTGCAGGCTTACGATGCTAAAATCCTGGTTTCGATACCCGTGGCAGGCAGAGCATAGATAGCCCATTGTGTAGCTTTGGGCTTAACAACAAACAAGCTAAACTAATCTTACTGACTGCTATTTTTGAAAGTTGTAGCTTCTTGTTTTTTCTGGCTCTGTCTTGAGCTTTTAAAGAATGGTCATACTTGTGTTATAAACTGATGGCCGGTGTTCTACAGATGAGAAGAATATAGACCTATAATACAGTAGTTTGAAACTGATACTGTTTTGAGCTTTCAAAGAATGATCATACTTGTGTTATAAACTGATGGCCGGTATTCTACAGATGAGAAGAATATAGATTTATAATACAGTAGTTTGAAACTGATACTGCAGTTTTGATTTTGACTTTAATTGATATACATAGGGAAAATTATTTTCTAACAAAATTTTATTTAATATTGTAGATAAGTCATAGACATATCAGAGTGATTGTACATAAACTGATTAAACAGATAGTTAGATACGTTTTTTTTTTATCCGTCCACTATAGTAAGGAACAAGCTAGGGTTAGCAAGCACGTGTGTATTTAATCTCATTCAAACGTTTTAATTGCTTTTCAAATTTCTCTTCTGTCCACCAACTACTTAATTTCTCATTCGTTGTTCCTCTACCTAATTTAATATCTTGCAGTTCAGTTCCCAACCTTCTAAAATTTTCCTAAAGTGTTCCCTTCATTATTCCATATTTACTGCTTATTGACACTTCGTTATCATTCTCCTGAAAGTATTCAGTGCTTTCCAAAACTCCTTAGTCGTTTGACTAGTTCCTGCTTCATCTCAGATCTTCTTCCCTCTTTCTTTGTTTATTTTTTATATATAATTGCTGCAGTTTCTTTCTTCTTCTAGCATATCTTTGTTTTTCTCGGGCCTTTGAAACTTTTTTAATCGCTTCATTACATTTTGTTTGCTCATTACATTTTCGATCGAGCCACCCACTTGATCTTCTTGTTTGACCTTTAATTCCAATCCTTTCTAGTGTCATTTTGCAAGCCATATTAATCTTCTCAAAAACATTTCCTGATGTTTTTCTTTGTCCGTTTCATTTGTGTCGAAAATGTTTCTTTATCCCCTCTCCCATTTCAAGTTATATATATTTCAACTTTTCCTATTCACTTTCTTGTCCTTCTTCTTTTATGCCCACTATAATTGGCATATGACCCGGTTCTAACCTATTTTCTACATTCGTCTACTTAATAACTCATTCTGTTTCTTCTTCACCACCGAATCTCCTCTTGTTCTTGCATACGTCCATCTTTCTTCATCGTCCTCATTTAATCTTCCGTTCAAGGTTCTCAAAATTTCATTATCTTTTCCTCCTTTGTCTTCATTTCTTGATCTTATGATTTTCTATACCTTTCCCTGTATGTCCTATAACTTCTTCCTCTTCCATAATATAATCTTGTTCTTTTCCAGTTTTTACACTCATATCTTCTATTAATTCTATGTTTTCTTTCATGCAATCTTTCCTTCAATTTTAATTCCATCTCCTCAATTACTTACTCTACCCCTGATTATTATACATTGGAAAAATTATTTCCTCTTTGTTTTCTTTTTGTATTTCATTGAAATTCCCATCGTCTCTTCCCCCCATCTTCATCTACCCCAAACTTCTTTTAACTACTAAGATACTATCTTATTTTCGTTTTCCTTTTATCTGCCCATTTTCCACTCAAATATGACGTGAAGTATCTTCTCTTTACTATTATTTGACTTTTGTTCCACACGTGTCTTCTTCAGGGTCACCACTTCATGTTTCCAAACATACTCACAAAATTCCACGCAACATTTCAACCACTTCCTATTTTGCTTTTTCTTCTATCTTCTGTATTGTGTTGACCTCCTTTTTCACGCCCTATTACTCTTATTTTCTTACCTTACCGTGCACTTATTTCCCTTAGAGTAAATGGATAAGGTCTACAATAAAACTGTAGATCCAACAGATACTTTACTACCAAAAATGGGTTTGTTTCTACATGATTGATTGAGTTCTTCACAAAGACAGAGACGATATACAAGAGATATACACAAATTACAATCTTTATTACAAACATAATCAAGGATTACACAAAACATGGGCAAGTGTTTATAGTGTGTGCAGAAGTAAAATTCTCATTAAAAAAGTGGCGTTACTTATATGCGCATACAACAAAGGATTTTGCTCAAATGTGTAATTTTATAATATAGTTGCCTAAAGAAAAATACATACGACCTTGTTTCTTATAAAAACACACACCGTGGGCACAATAATAGATTTTATTTGACATGACAATATTACCACAAGATTCATTGTGATAATGGTTTTAAAGAAGCAAATATATATACATATTAAAGAAACAACTAAATTAAAAAGATTTACACATGTAAATCTACCTCATATGTCTTTTTTTTTTTTTGCTTTCCATTCCTTTCATTGTTAATATTAGAGGCGGGTTCCGATCACAGCGTATCAGCTAATAAAAGACGTCATTTGGATATATTTATCGTTATTGACCAATCATTCAAACCACACAGCCAGGAGACTATCCAGTTGGTTCAGTAATGATTGATATCGAGGCTGCTAAATAATTTTTCCTCATAATTTTGTTGCCAATAGGAACTAAAATTGCTAAGTTATTTACTGGTTCAGTTGAATAACAATAATTGTTTACATTCTGTAAGACATGACATGTCTGCTTTCTGATAGTACGATGGAAGGCATGTGAGTTGGACGAAAAGCAGAACAAATAAGTTCTAGTACTTAGTCCTGGTACTGCGTACTGGTAGAATTTCACCCCTGAATGTATATTTGAACTGGAAGGAGAGAGAGTCCCAATTTGGCATGAGCCTCCCTGTAAGCTAAGAAGAAAAAATGTTAAACTAAACGTTAAACTAAAAATCCTCACAGCTAAAAACAATATCTGAAGTTCTATAATTGAATTAATCTGCATAAGGCTGAATCTTATGGAATAGCGCGGCCATTAAATACAAGAACAACTTACTCATGAACAAAACCAGGCTGCTCACGATTCATATCTCACTCATGTGATCCAAGACCACTCTCATTTCAGCACAGGTGTGAGGAACTCCCAGGCTATTACCAGATTTTTCGACAGAAATGACAGCTGTTAGTCTTGGAACATCACGAATGAAGTGAGAGCGCTCTTTCCTGAAAGAAAACACGTTTAACAACCAATACGAGTGATCCCTGCTCCGTGCACTACTAGAATAAGGAGAACGTAAGTGCTAACTTGGTTGACTTTCAGCATTAACAAAAGCTGACAAAAACAGAGTTTATACAAAATAAAAATACATATCAATTAAGGGGTAAGAAACATATGTACCATTCTGTATCAAAATGTCTACCTTTCTCTTATATTCAGATAAACCTAATCACCTCTAACTTTATACTAGATAGTCAATAAAAAATTTACGCACGTATCAATAAAAAAATTGATTGTTTGTTTTAGAATTTCGTGCAAAGCTACACGAGAGCTATCTGCGCTAGCCGTCCCTAATTTAGCAGTGAAAGAGTAGAGTTTGTTTGTTTGTTTGTTTTGAATTTCGCGCAACGCTACACGAGGGCTATCTGCGCTAGACCGTACCCTAATTTAGCAGTGTAAGACTAGAGGGAAGGCAGCTAGTCATCACCACCCACCGCCAACTCTTGGGCTACTCTTTTACCAACGAATAGTGGGATTGACCGTCACATTATAACGCCCCCACGGCTGAAAGGGCGAGCATGTTTTGGTGGGATGGGGATGCGAACTCGCGACCCGCAGATTGCGAATCGAGCGTCCTAACCACCTGGCGAAAGAGTAGAGAGAAGGCAGCTAGTTATCACCATCTACCGCCAACTCATGGGCTATTCGTTAACCAACGAATAATGGGATTGACTGTCACATTATAACGCTCCCACGGCTGAAAGGGGGAGCATGATTGGTAAGACGGGGATTCGAACCCTCTATCCTCAGATTGCGAGTCAAGCGCCCTAACCACCTGGCCATGCCGGGCTCAAGAAACTGAAATAATTCATTCACGCCAACGGAAGAACATTTGTCCAGCAATAATAATAATGTTAAAATAATAATAATAATGTTAAACAACAACTAAATAAAACATAGTAAAACAGAAATTATTTAACAAAGATGCTCTATTCCCTAATAACAATGCGATACAAAAAAAAAGACCCTTTATCGTCGATAACACAAAGTACCAAAATAAAACCCTTTGACAAAGAAATACTTTTCAATCTACGTTTGAAGCACAAAGCATATATAAAATGACAATGACGTATATTACATCCTTAGACAACTAGCGACTTTTTTTCAAACTTTCAAATTTATTGGTTTTTTCTTGTTTGAAAGAATCAACAAATTATAAGCTTGTGCTAGTTCAATTTCTCTGTTGAGCTCAAAAATGGTCCCCCGGCAGGATAGCGGTAAGTCTTCGGATTTACGCCACTAGAATCAGGGGTTCGATTCCCCTTAGTGGACACAGCAGATAGCCTGATGTGGCTTTGCTATGAGAAAACATACATACTGCTGAAAAAATGTACATATAAAAGTGGGGATATCTAACGAAAGTTTTTGTATAAATCGTTAGATTTTTGAAAATAACCTGTTTAGTTAATTCTATATGACATCACTTGCGGTTGAGCGTTAAAATGAAGTAATATTTTTTTAAATTAGTTTATTAATAGAGGAGTTCTACAATATACGGCATGTTGTCTTTTAATCTACTGATATGAATGACGTTTGATTGTTTGTTTGTTTTGGAATTTCGCGCAAAGCTACACGAGGGTTATCTGCGCTAGCCGTCCCTAATTTAGCAGTGTAAGACTAGAGGGAAGGCAGCTAGTCATCACCACCCACCGCCAACTCTTGGGCTACTCTTTTACCAACGAATAGTGGGATTGACCGGCACATTATAACGCCCCCACGGCTGAAAGGGCGAGCATGTTTGGTGGGATGCGGATTCGAACCCGCGACCCTCAAATTGTGAGTCGAGCGCCTTATCCACCTGGCCATGCCGGGCCGAATGACGTTTGAAGCAGGTATTTGGTATTTTCAACCCGAATGGCAATTTATGTAATATATCTAAAAGGTCAGTTCAGAATCCCCAAGGTTCAAACATAACCGTCCCTAATTCTGAGCTACTGACTAGAAGGAAGACGATCAGAAGCACCCACCGCCTACATGGCTACTATCAACCGAATAGTGAAGTTAACTGTCATTTTTATAAAGCAACCACAATTCAGGCGGTATATCTTGGGTTCGAATTTTAGATCTTCTTATGTGCAGTCCGGCATGCTAACCACCAAACCACGCTAAGCTCCGTTATAAAATTAAAACTATATCTTATGCACCAACATGTCGGGTGAGTTTTAGTATTGAGATCAAGGTTTCGTTGACATTTGTGTACAAGAAAGAGTAGTTGAAAGGCTATTATATACTCTTTTGTCTTTTACTGGAAATTTATACCGGGCTATTCAAAGAATGTTGTGATTTGAATCACCATCAGTCCTATCGTAATGTACTATAAGAGTGTTTAGATTGCTATCGTCTAAAAGTATTTCATAAGGTAAAGAAATCCTAGGCACAATATGATCACTGTCACACATTAACATATAGTAAAGAAGTCTTAGGCACGATATGATCACTGTCACACATTAACATAAGGTAACGAAATCCAGACCACAATATGATCACTGTCACACATTAACATAAGGTAAAGAAACCTAGGCACAATATGATCATTGTCACACATTAACATATAGTAAAGAAATCTTAGGCACGATATGATCACTGTCACACATTAACATAAAGAAATCCAGACCACAATATGATCACTGTTACACATTAATATAAGGTAACGAAATCCAGACCACAATATGATCACTGTCACACATTAACATAAAGAAATCCAGAGAACAATATGATCACTGTCACACGTTAATATAAGGTAAAGAAACCTAGGCACAATATGATCACTGTCACACATTAACATAAAGAAATCGAGACAACAATATGATCACTGTCACACGTTAATATAAGGTAAAGAAACCTAGGCACAATATGATCACTGTCACACATTAACATATACTAAAGAAATCTTAGGCACAATATGATCACTGTCACACATTAACACATTGTAAAGAAATCTTAGGCACAATATGATCACTATCACACATTAACACATTGTAAAGAAATCTTAGGCACAATATGATCACTGTCACACATTAACATAAAGACATCCAAACCACAATATGATCACTGTTACACATTAATATAAAGTAACGAAATCCAGACCACAATATGATCACTGTCACACATTAACATATAGTAAAGAAATCTTAGGCACAATATGATCACTGTCACACATTAACACATAGTAAAGAAATCTTAGGCACAATATGATCACTGTCAGACATTAACATAAAGAAATCCAGACCACAATATGATCACTGTTACACATTAATATAAGGTAACGAAATCCAGACCACAATATGATCACTGTCACACATTAACATAAAGCAATCCGGACAAAAATATTATCACTGTCACACATTATCATAAAGAAATCCAGACAACAATATGATCACTGTCACACGTTAATATAAGCTAAAGAAACCTAGGCACAATATGATCACTGTCACACGTTAACATATAGTAAAGAAATCTTAAGCGCGATATGATCACTGTTGCACATTTATATAAGGTAACAAAATCCAGACCACAATATGATCACTGTCACACGTTAACATAAAGTAAAGAAACCTAGGCACGATATGATTACTGTCACATATTAACATAAAGAAATCAAGACCACAATATGATCACTGTCACACATTAAGGCAAAGAAATTCCAGGGCACAATATGATCATTGTCACACATTAACACATAGTAAAAAAATTCCAGGGCACAATATGATCACTGTCACACATTAACATATAGTAAAAAAATTCCAGGGCACAATATGATCACTGTCACACATCAAGGTAAAGAAATTCCAGGGTACAATACGATCATTGTCACAGATTAAGATGATTCCTTGTGACTATCCAACAAGCAATACTATTCCAGCTTGAAGCGAAGCATTAGTCGAACAAAGAAATCGAAAACCTTGCCCATGTGAACAGTTAACTGGGAGAACATTAGTATAGTTTAAAAATATAGGCACACATTTGAACTCTTTGAAACAGTGAAAATGTGTTATTGAACTTAAATTGTATGATAATAATTGTGGAGTACTTTACAACAACAAATTAAGACTCTGAGTTACCTGTTATATTGAATACAGTGCTCCTAGCGACTTAGAATAATCAAACAGACAGTGTCATTAATTTAACACTGGAAATTAACTACCAAATTATGATTTTCTCAGATATTTACCTTAAATTAAAAAGAGAAGATTCCAAGGGAATAAAAATCGCTATGAAACAAAAAGGATGGATAAAGTCCAGCTGTCCAGTACTAGTCCTATGAAGGAATCACGTCTTCTACTGTTATCTACACATTTGTTCAGTTATGTAATGATCCTACGAATAAGTAATCAATAAATGGAAAAGAAGAGTTGGCACTCGATGTAACCCTTAATACTAAGTTTAGATATAGATTGGTATAGACAAAGTGAATTAATGTTCTAATGCAAGAACGACCTCAGTCATCTGAACTTCAAGAAGAACGTGTCTGAAACTGATGACGATCCTAATCATATCAAATTTCACCGAGGAAAACTGTTCTAATTCATGGTCAAGGTTTGTTTGTTTTAGCGCAAAGCTACGTAATAGAATACCTGTGCTGTGGCCCCCATGGGTATTCGAACTCCTCATTTTAGCATTGTAACTTTGTAAACTTGACACTTACCTACTGAGGTTTTTTTATTTTGTTTGTTATTAAGCACAAAACTATACAATGGGCTATTTGTGCTGTACCCACCTCTAGTATCGAAACCATTTTGCGTTGTAAACCATCAGACTTATCGTTGAGCCACCGGGGTTGGTGGGGTGGGGGTCACTGAGGGGGCTCCTTGGCCAAAGATAAGAAAGAAAATAAAACATCTTATGAAATATTTAGTGTATGGACAAGTTAAGAGGCTTTAAGAGATTTAAGTCAACTTACGGCATAGGTTTGTTTGGAATTAAGCACAAAGCTACACAATGGGCTATCTGTGCTCTGCCCACCACGGGTATCTAAACCAGGTTTCTAGCGTTGTAAATCCGCAGACATACCGCTGTGCCACTGGGGGGGCTACGGCATAGGAAGGTACATGAATTATAATATATTAGATATGTAAGTTTTTATTTGTAATAATTGTATTTGTTTCGCCATAATAATTGTGAAAACAAAAACAAAACAGTATTTTGTAAAGCATCTTATAAGTTCAAAGTTTTGGCCGTTAGATATTTAATGTTTTTTTTATATTTTGATTAAACTGCATCTTAAAAAAATTTTTCGAGGGCGATATCGTGTAGAATATACAGGAAGTTGAGTTTAGTGAAACTAGAAAGAATTTAGAACTTAGTTAGTATAACGTAGTGTTTCGTGTATTGTCAACAATTCTCAAAATTTAGGACTAGCTCCTTATATTTGTGTTTCATAGCTTGTGTAGATCTAGTGAGAGATGTAGCTCTTGATACAGTAATTCGGTAGCAGTTGTCAATTGCAAATTTAGTTTCAGTTTTGTTTTAGCGTGAACTTGTACAATAACTTATTCGCGAGGATCAATTCATGAATTTTAGAGATATTAAAATATTATTTTCCCAATCAGGCATAAAATGTGTTTATAATTTTTTCATTCACGTAAAAATAAGTTGTTTGTTTGAAGTTAAGCACAAAGCTACACAATGGGCTATCTGTGCTCTGTCCACCACGGATATCGAAACCCGGTTTGTAGCGTTGTAAGTCCGCAGACATACCACTGTGAAAATAAGTTGTACTGTTATCTGTCTGTGATTTATAGCAAAGTCACATAGGGTGTCTGCTATGTCCACCGAGGGGAATCGAACCCCTGATTTTAGCGTTGTAAATCCGTAGACTAACCGCTGTCACACCAGGGGACTGTACTGCAAAAAAAACATGATTAAATCATTAACGTGTGACCAAGTTGGGAAACTTAAATTTACATATTACAATTTTAACATTTTTATTTTATTTTATGACTTTGGCCACAGGGGAATCACACGCTCTTCACACAATCGGAACATCGCTCGGGCTTTTCCATCTTTATAGTCTCAAGCAATTTGTGCATATGACGAAATAAAAGGGTTGAACTTATTTTCCACTGCATTTTTCTTTAAACCAATCAGCGTAAAACTGCGACAGCAACCAAAAGTTGAACTATACTTTCCGTTAAAATAATGTTTGAATAGGTATCGTTAGTACCATCTGTTTCTCTCAAGATTGTTTGTTTGTTCGTTCAACTTCCGCGCAAAGCTACTCGGGGGTCTATCTATCTGTCTCTAATTTTGAAGTGATAAAATCGAGGATGTGCAGCCAGTCAACATCACCAACTCTTGGTCTTCTCATATTACCAACGGATTGACCGTTACATTATAACGCCCCCAAGACTTAAAGGACTAGCATGTTGGTTGACGGGGAATAAGAAGAAATCTACACAATGGGCTATCAGCACTCTGTCCACAGCGGGAATCGAAAACTCAATGTTAGCGTTATAAGCCCGTGGACATACTGCTGAGCCACTTTTGAAGGTTAGTTTTCGTTTTCTGATTTGCTTTAATATGATGATTAACTCGTTCAAACATGTCAGGACCGCAATGTACTACTAGTTATAGTAATCAAATGTTAATTTAATATATATATATATATCCTTCGTATTTTTCACGAACAGGTCCAGTAAAAGATCCACTGATTCGTGACTATTGACAATTCATCTTCATTAATGTTTCTAAGTAGGTTCAACGGACTTACAACGCTAAAATCCGGGGTTCGATTCTATGCGGTGTATAAACCACAAAGTGTAATCTTAAGGTAAAAATATGTTCATAGTCTTTTTATAACCCCCCCCCCCTACACACACACAGTGGCTCAGCGATAAGTTTGAAAACTTATAATGCTAAAAACCAGGCTTCGATACCCGTGGTGGGCACTACAAGTGGACAAACCAACCTTTTATAAAGTATGGTGGTGACTTTGATACTTTCTTGATATCAACTTTAATATGTTCTGGGTTTGGTTAATATATCTGATGTACATTACAAGTCAGTAAAATAAAAAATGGCGATGTTTTTGAGACATTTTAACGTAAAGGAAGTTACTTATTCTTATAATTGTATCAGAACTCACGAGTTTTATAACATGAAAGTTCTTTCTTTTTTGCCAATGTTTTAGAAAAAAAAACAGAGAAAGTATAAGGGTCACCAAATCTGACATATATATTTTTTAGAAATCAAAACCAAACACACTTTTGAGTGGTTTGTCACACAAAATGCAGCGTCTCGACCAAGTGGTGTCCAATTAAAAGTGTGGTGCAAAATTATATTAAAAAATATGTGTCACATCTTATGTTCATATATTGGTTTAACTTCATTTCAACAATTGATAAAGCCACATTGTTCTTGTTCCATCTTTCACATTTGAATGACATGTGTGCTATTTTGGTTCTCCTTTTTACATGCTATTTTTTCAATTTTTAAAGCAAACCTCGATAATTACATTCAAACATTTAACACTGGACTTTTATTTGCATGTATATTATTATGTTTTTTATCTTCTAAGAGATACAGAATATCAATCTTTATATTTCAACTATAATTATCACATTATCAAGGCAACATTGAACAATGCATTCCCATCTTTGGAAATTTAAGACTAAGTATACCTTTCAAGCTCTTGTGTGAAAGTACTTATTAAGATGAACATCTTAACTGCTCGTGTCAAATGAATTTAGACCATTTAAGCTTTAACTTGATAACGCATTAAGCTTAGTCCTAGACTGAAGTTTTTCGATTATTTCCAATTTTCCATCTTTTTTTCTGGGTTTATATAAATAATTTAAAAATCCCTTTTTTGATAACTTAATCACCATTAACAGCGACAAATACTATATCTATAATGTAAATAAAATATGATAATTTAAGTTTCACCAAAGCAATCTGACTGTACTTTCGCTCATTATGGGTTGTACAATATTCTACTATGTGTAAAGTAGGCTTATTGCAGCTTGATACACTTTTGACCTGATAATCCCAGCATTAACATGTTGATTTATATGTTAGTAATGGAATAATTATTAAAGTGTTTTTATTAAAGTAATGTGAATAGTTGTTTGTTTCGGATATTCGCGTAAAGCAACACAAGCAGTGCTAGCAGTCCCTAATTTTGAACTGACAGTCAAGAGAGAATGGCAACTAATCAACAGCATCCACCGCCATCGCTTGGACCACTCTTATAAAATAGAGAGTTTTGACCGTCACCCAAAGTGCGGAGTGAGTTTTCGTGGTAACGAGCCGCGAACCATAAACCCTCGGATTCACAGTCCGAATACGCTAATCACTAAGCCACACCCGGCTCCGGTATAGTGTAAAAGAAAGAACAGACAGTGTAGAATGTGGACTTGTTTCGTAAATGTTAGTAATTTTTTTTATTGTGTAGAACCTGCTGCGTTTGCTACATTATACTTTTCTGTTGATAAAAGTCAAAAAAAAAAGAATGCTTTTTTTTTGGAAAAATCTAACAAAGTGTTTGAAACTAGAAGTTCTGGTACATACTGCACTAAGAAACAAAAACACCTCGTTTGAGCCAAACAAATCACTATTTAAGAGTTAAAAAATTTTTAAACATGAGCTAGAGATGAGAAGAATATCAGAAAATACATAGGCTAATAAGTGATAAATTAGTGATAATGCTAAAAAAAACAAACAAACACGTACCCGTGATTGCACCACAATAGGTCGTAAACTGATAACTTGAAAATTGAGATTATTATTAAACAGATCGACTTTTCTTTGTAATAAAGTATATAATTTACTAACTATTAACAACAAATGGGATATTATAGTTTCCCCCATTGTTACAAAAACATAACAGTTCACTGCTACGTGCATGTATTTCGAAATAGAAATATGATAACAGATATTCACGTACATAGGTAACACATTAAAATAGTAGTCTATAATAAGCGCAGAATCCGATTGTAACTTTTCTTTATGGATAGTAAAATGAACAATTAGGATTAGCCTAATGCTGTAATACATATATATATTTAATAATAGAAAAACTTCCAAAAATACCGTTAACAGCAAGGGAATTGTATATGGCGATTCAACGCATTCTGATCATTATAAACTTTAGTTATGTTTTTTGTAATGATTTATGATATTAAGTACTTCTATTCAGTATATTAAGAAACATTGTCTTCAATTAACTTATAGGGTACTTTTTATACTTTTGATCAGAAGTTCTTATTGATTCACAATAAATATATTTCTAATTTTTCTTATTCAAACATTCCGTTACATACAGATAGAGAAAGGCATAATGCAGTCTTGGTGAATTAATGTTAAAAATAAACGCTTGTCATTACAAAAGTAGATAATGGGCCAATTGCCTAACGAAGTGGCTAAGCCATATATATGATAGTTGAAACCATGCAAGGCAGAAAGTAACTATTACTTTTATGATACTTGAAACCATGCAAGGCAGAAAGTAACTATTGCTTTTATGATACTTGAAACCATGCAAGGCAGAAAGTAACTATTGCTTTTATGATACTTGAAACCATGCAAGGCAGAAAGTAACTATTGCTTTTATAATACTTGAAACCATGCAAGGCAGAAAGTAACTATTCATTTTATGATACTTGAAACCATGCAAGGCAGAAAGTAACTATTGCTTTTATGATACTTGAAACCATGCAAGGCAGAAAATAACTATTGCTTTAATGATACTTGAAACCATGCAAGGCAGAAAGTAACTATTACTTTTATGATACTTGAAACTATGCAAGGCAGAAAGTAACTATTACTTTTATGATACTTGAAACCATGCAAGGCAGAAAGTAACTATTACTTTGTGATACTTGAAACCATGCAAGGCAGAAATTAACTATTACTTTTGCCATTTTCTTTATCCATGGTTTAATCTTTGCTGGTATTAAGTACAAACTATCTTCCCTTCCCCCTACTCCATCCCGGAATGTAGAGAATCTATAACTACTGACCAACAAGCAACCATTAACAAATCACTTACAACGCACGTGACAATTGATTCCAAACAATTGGAGTATTCTTAAACGTTCCTCTTTACGACCAGGTGGTCACTAGGACGTCCCCTCCAGCCCCAAACTATTGTACACATATAACAACAACTATATATATATTATTCTACCTCCAGGTTTATTGGTGCTTACACTCACCATCATATGTATATCACTCAGAAGGGCGCGAGAAAGAAGGAACCACACCGATTTAGGAATTCAAAACTTACTTTGCAGTTAAAAACAGACCAGTGTTTACAAGAAGTGAAAAAATATAAAGTCATTGCACCAATCGCAACTGCTTTAGGATTACGTGGTAAAAAAAACAACAAAAGACGATTTGTTATATCTGTTAATATTTATGATAGCGTTCTTACTAGTTGCCTTCAGTTTTACCTATTTTTACAATATATATAAAACAATGTCCACTTACATTTGCTATATTATGCAGGACGGTCGAAAAGTTAAGTCAAGTCAAGAGTCAATTAATTCTATGGGCTTAGAAATAACGTTTCGTTCAACACCCACTACTGTAAAAGTCTGACTGGTTTTTACGGTATTTTTACCCTTTCTGAATAAATCTAGGAAGTATCATTAAGGAAATTGTGGCAATTGTAAAAAATATATCAAGGTTTGTTTTATGAAGACAGTGAAAACTGGTAAAAACCGCAAGCCAAAATCAGCTGTAATATCAATTACTGAAGTAGAAAGATTGTGAAGCTAATAATTGAAGCCAATTACCATTAACCAACCATATAATTGGGGCAAATTACCATTAACCAAACAAGTGATTGGAGCTAATGACCATTAGTCAAACAAGGAATTGGAACTAGTATGTAATCATTCTGAAATTTCCCAGAAAAGTATAAGCTACACAGATGTTTCTACATCAGTACATTATAGGACTTGGTGTGAAGTTCAGTTATGTTGAAAAACTTATCTGCACGCTGAAAACAGATTATGGAAAAAAAATTGAGAATGACAAACACTGGTTCTTCTGGCACAAACAACAGAAGAAAGTTTAGGCTCATGTTAGAATGTTTGAAATATCACACTAAACGAGCAACTTACTAGTCCTACATGTCAATAGTTGCTCTGTAAGCAGTGTCATCCCAATAAAGCATGGGTGTGAAATAAAGTAGGGAAAACCGAAATTGCTTCTTATGATAAAAGATCCACACCAATGTGTGTTCTTGCACTTGGTGCTTGTAATTGTAAGAAAACATACAGAAGACGAAGATATATGTGTAGAGTTAATGGACTTAGTGAATTGAGAGCTGTGCTTGTATGGTAGGCAAAGACTGCCAGAATCCCAAGGCAATGTTACCAATGTCGGATTCCGATTAGGAGGATTAGCTGAGAGACATTTGCAATATTAGTAAAATCCAAAATGAAATATTAAGATTCCTCATATATAGCATTTTTTATATTGATACATACTCTATCGTACTATTGTATCACATAATTAAAAATGTTGATCTTACATGTTTTGTCTAGCTAACACATCAGGAACTATACATTCATTGTAGTCATTTTCATTTGAAATGTTCCTTAGACATCATTCCTTCAAACTATATTGTCAGACCTTTTGTCAGTGTGTTTACCATGTTTATGTACTGTTTACATATTACTGCTAAATAAAAATGAAAGTTAAAATAATTAGTAGTCCATACATAACTGTGAGGTAACTTAATTTTTGAACAACCTTGTATATCAGAAGAAGCAAAAATGAATCACTTAGTTTCACAAAAAAAACTGTTCTTACTGCAAGTTAAAGTTATTTAAAAGACGAAAATCCTCAGTAGTGACTTTTCCCATGGACAAAAATAATATTAAAAAATATTTATGGTATTCTGTTTGTTCGTGCTATTAGTGCTCTATCAACAGTGGGTATCGAAACCAGATTTTTTGCGTTATAAGCCCCCAGAGTTATCGCTGAGCCACCTGGGGATATGCTATTTTAAAGATATATATATATCAAATGTAACATTTTCTTGTATATGAGCGATGACTTAGCATTGTATCATAAAATGTATTTTTCAGTATTTACTAGACGAATATAAAATTTAATGTAATCCAACATGAAAAACAATAACATTCCCATAACTGTCACTCCCATTCTCCTCCAATATTCCAACTACGTACGTTTATGTACTATTTTAACGGTTTTAAAGCACTAATAAGTTCAGAGCGAAACGATTTTACTTCTTGGACAAAACAATTGATGTAGTTTCAGCCATCACCCTTTAAAGTTGCTCTGAAATATGTTTGTCATTTAACTATACAGTTTTAAGTTTCATCTACCAATAAGTAAAAGACTTTGTGCCGAACAAATGAAACAAATACTTGATTCCTACAAGAAACAAGTCCGAAAACATTACTATTTGATAATAACAGTATTTTAGAAATATCGCAAAATAAATGACAGTATCTATATATATATATATATATTTCCCAGAAAGAAATAGGCGCGTCTTTTTTTTTTTTCGCATCTTCATTTCAAACAATAGCAAATTACGAGAACAGTGAACAGAAGCTGTCTACGTGCTCTCTTGTTTTTTAATTATTTCCCACAGCACAGTTGAAGGCAGACAAGACATTCTTACTGGTGCTTCACTAGCTAGGAAATTCTCCTGTGCGTGGGCTGGGTAGGATAATAAGAACAATGAAAAGCTTCGTCCACGATGTTGATGAATAACCAATGGGCTGACTCTTCCATTTACAATATGACGTAACAATGAGTGAGGTCACATTATGTATATATAATTACAAACAGTCTATTTCTACATGGGATTTTTAAGAAGTCTTTTCTGACGAAAGTCGTAGACCTTCCGGCAGAAGAACACCATTTCTGAAGAAACCCATTCTGGTGGAAGTCGGCTGACACGGGGATACTTCCCTTCTGGTTTAGGAACCATGGAGATCTCGGGGTGGTGTTTTTCCTCGGCCAGCTTCACACCTTTACGATACCTGTTCCAAGGGTTAAGAAACAATACAAAAGGTATTGCAAAAAATAATTATCGTAGTTCGTATCAACGTGACACACACACACACTCACGTATGTCACAAACTCTATGCTTAACATCTAAATATAACTATTATTGTAAATATTTGCTAATTCCTAAATTTCAATATAAAAATAATACCTCACACATAAAAAATACCCTGGAAAGACAAGTAGCTATTTTTAACATCTAAATATAACTATTACTGTAAACATTTGCCAATTCCTAAATTTCAATAAAACAATAATACCTCACATATAAAATAATTCAATACCGAGAAACAAAACAATGAAAAGACAGCCATTTCTGACAACAACAAAAATTAAAAAAGCTCAGACACTGTCTAAAAAAAACTTCAACTTAACAGTTAGTTACTTTACGTCAAAATATATTTGGAAACTAAACTAAAAATGTAACTTACAAACATTTATTTTTCCACAAGAGTAAATGAACAAGAACATAAAATGGTGTATATTTTATACTTTTAGGAATATAATCTACACATTGAAAATGAATACAGTTGTAATAGTTTATAAATAAAAAATAATGAGTTATTTTACAATGATATCACTAACAGTCTTAAGATTAATGCATTCAATCGGTATATCAACATTTTGAAGAAAAAAAATGCCTTTGAAATTATCAATCTTACTTGAAATTTTATATAAGTTTAAAATGTTCGCGTATCTGCACATAACCATCCCTCCAAACAATAAACATAGTTTACAACCATGTCCCCACGGCTGGTTACAGACGATAAACATAGTTTAACCAGCTGTAGGGAGATTATTGTACAGTCAATAAATATAGTTCAGTGTTTATCGTCTGTAACTAGCTGTGGGTAAGTGATTGAGTTTATAATCACCTCCTCACAGACAGATAAAGACGATAAACATAGTTTACAATAATCTCACTACAGTTCGTTACAGTCAGTAAACATAGTTTACAATCACTTACCCACAGCTAGTTACAGTTTCATTCCACAGCGATGCTTGCGAATATTGGCCAAATCTACTAACCATTTATTCACACCACTAACTAGGCCTTACTTCTACACATAACTTTTCCTCAGGGACACATTGTTCTACACCGGAGCTTTTTAATGGGTGAGAAGCTCCTTGATTTTTCGGCCCGGAATCTTAACTTATATATACCGATATATTTAAAACAGAAAATAGTATATTTAAAAATTCAAACACGATTACACTACAGGAAATCTAATGGACTTAAATCAATATTTTGATTTGAATTTATAATAAACAGTTCACGAAAGAAAGGGCAGACGATAGATTTTAATATGAATATTATACTTTTGTTTAACAAAGAAGTAGCCCTAGTTGAAAGTTTGAAAAAAGATAAAAACGTTTTTTGTTGGTCGTAGTTTAGTTGGAAATTAATGAACATTGTTTATAATGTTTATGTTGACTCCATGTTTCCAAATACAAATAAGAATATTGAATCTGTTCATAATCCCTGAGGTTATGAAAATTATATGGCATAAAGTCACGAAAAAAAAAAGGTTCTCAGGCATAAAAAATTCTAAGATAGACTATAGGTTGCTAGGCGACTGTTTGTTCAAGTCATCCAAGACAGTAATGGTCAAACAAGCGATATTTAAAAACAGATGACGTTTATCATGCAGTGTAGTCACGCGCCGACCAGTATTCATTCTGCACGGAAATACTCCGTTACTAATTGGAGAAAGAAGCAAAAAACAAAAAAAGTCACCCGTGCCCGAGAACCAAGCACTTTACATATCCTAAAGGTCAACATTTTTTATCTAAAGTTAAGACGTTTCTTTATTACTCTAAGAATCTAGCGCTAGTAAATGTGTACCTGCAGTACTCTGTAAATGTAAGGACGTAGCATTTGTCTTCGATGCATGCCACGCTATTGACATCTCTGTGTTTAGAAGCGAAAATTTCGTCTTCCATGTCCTGCGGTCTACGGCCTTGTTCAGTGTGCTCGGGTCGATAGTACCACATTAAGCTCATCATCATTTCACCTATAGAAAAAACAAATTGAGCTTGAAAAGCCAAGTTCAAAACAACCAAAGGCAATGCAAACCAATACTAACATTTTCTATCAAAATCAAACCTTCGTCAATATCAAAGTTCACTACAGAAAAATCATGAGAGACCCAACAATAGTACACAAATGATAAATTACAAAAAATTAACTATAGAAGTATCCAAATTTGGAAAAACTAAACTGGACCTTACACTAGTAATAAATTTACTACAGAAAAACCAAACTGGACCTTACAGTAATATCGAATTTACTATTGAAAAACCAAACTGGACCTTACAGTAAGTATTAAATTTACTACAGAAAAACCAAACTGGACTTTACGAGTATTAAATTTACTACGAAAAACCAAACTGGACCTTACTGAAGTATTAAATTTACTACAAAAAACAAACTGGACCTTACTGAAGTATTAAATTTACTACAGAAAAACCAAACTGGTAAACAAGTCGATAATTGAAGGATTAAATAGCCTGATGTTTTACACTATCTGAGGATATTGTGTCTATGTTCTTAAATCGACTTCTTACACACATAAATAATGAACAAAGTTAAACACAATTCAGTTATTCAAACACATCTGGATGTTTCAAATTAGTTATAAACCGTACAACAATGCAATGTAATTTTTAATAAAATGTCGTATATATACTTCAAATTATTATTATCTACATGTATACTGTTAAACTACTGGAAATATTTGTAACTAGGTTCACCTTTAAGATAATCAGTTTTGGTTGTATGAGTTGAGAAATATTATTAGTATAATTTCTTAATTAGGGTTCTCAACAACGAAAAGTTTCATTCACCATAATATAATAATTATTTCTGAATAAAAGATAATTTTATATTATTTATCTTCCTATAACACTTAAAATAGGTCTCCAAATTCGATGACTAGGAACCCACTTTGAGACTAATAATGGTTGGAGACGGTTTGAATGGGTAATGAAGAAAAACTTTAAT